GCCAGTTATTAAGTAGCTATATGACATCATGTTCGCCCTACATTTCAAAAGGAAATTACATACTGTATGTGAAAGTTAAATATACATAACTAAAAACAGGCATACTACCAAATTACATTGGATTTGTATAATATGAACACTGAAAATTCAGCAGATGCTTTACCTTTCGTCATACTGCTTCCAGGCACATTGCATGATACAGTCAACATACCTGGTTTACATTTTTGTTGAATGTATGCGTATGTATATTTTATTGTGGTAGTGTGAAATTGCCGTTAGGTATCGAACACGATACCCATCTATCTTTTTGTAAATCGGATATGGCCGTTCAAATTTCAAACCCTACCCCCACCAACTCTCAACCTCTATATTTCAATGAACGACAGTGAACAATTTCACAAATTTACCGTTTACAGCGACATACATACAGCGGTGATCTAACCATAGTGTCGTAATATAATCATAGTGACGTAATTGAACCATAGTGTCGTAATTGAATCATAGTGTCGTAATAGAACCATAGTGTCGTAATAGAACTATAGTGTCGTAATGTAACCACAGTGTCGTAATTGAACCATAGTGTCGTAATAGAATCATAGTGTCGTAATAGAACCATAGTGTCGTAATAGAACTATAGTGTCGTAATGTAACCATAGTGCCGTAATAGAACCATAGTGTCGTAATAGAACTAGTGTTGTAATGTAACCACAGTGTCGTAATTGAACCATAGTGTCGTAATAGAATCATAGTGTCGTAATAGAACCATAGTGTCGTAATAAAACTATAGTGTCGTAATGTAACCACAGTGTCGTAATTGAACCATAGTGTCGTAATAGAATCATAGTGTCGTAATGTAACCATAGTGTCGTAGTGTCGTATTGGAACCATTGTGTCGTAATAGAACCACATTGTCGTAATAGAACTATAGTGTCGTAATATAATCATAGTGTCGTGATAGAACCATAGTGTCGTAACATAACCATAGTGTCGTAATAGAATCATAGTGTCGTAATAGAACCATAGTGTCGTAATAGAACCATAGTGTCGTAATGTAACATTAGTGTCGTAATAGAACCATAGTGTCGTAACATAACCATAGTGTCGTAATAGAATCATAGTGTCGTAATAGAACCATAGTGTCGTAATAGAACCATAGTGTCGTAATAGAATCATAGTATCTGGTCATACATCAGTAACATAACAATAGTGTTTGGTCAAAAAGTGGTAATATAACCATATTTGGTTATACAGCGGCAACAGAACCCTATTACTATTGTGCCAGGCCATACAGCGATAACAGACTATATATTGCCTGGTTATACAGTGATAACTAAATGTTAAATGTTAGAGAATCTTTAGTTTGTCTCCTAGCAACATAATGATATGTAAAGTCCAGTGAGTCTCAAATGTTTTTAGATAGAAGTATGGATACATATTTCAACAGCGTCTATCTATGAGCATGGCTGCACAGCGTATGAATACCAGTCGTACGTAGTTCTAAGCGAGCCTATAACCACACTGAATTGTATGTATAAATAGGCACTGGTGATAGTGTGAGAGATACTGTAACATTATATCAGCAGAAACACTGGGGAATTGTTTCGATACACGTGACCTGATTACGAATGAGGTAATAAGTATACGTGCAAGAATTCAATGTAAGGAAGTGTCAATTCTTCAAGTGTTAATCATTTCATCATTAATGTAAGATTTTAAAAGTCTAAAATAGGTCAACAAACAACTATTCTGTCAGTTTTCTTTTGTTTATTTATGGCATTTAAAAAAATACTTAATAACGTTATCATCAAAGAAAACAAAACTCTAATCCTGGAATGTGAATAATCCAAAGTTTTTTTTATAACAATATATTTTGTATGCTTTCCTCCTAAAAGAACGTGTTTTGTACTACAATATCAAAATAGAAACACTGTACACATATTCATAAATCGCTATATAATATATAACTTCAGAGCCCTCGTGACGAGGATTGGAGAAACCCGCGTTGAAACTAGTCTCACTAGATGGTAAGCGTTATTTGAAGAGATTACCTAGAATATAGACCAGTTTTTGAAAAAGAGAAAAGTGTCCTATTAGTCAGGATGTATATTGTTTTCACCATGTACAGTATACCAGGAATACAATTTGAGATACGGCATAATAGCTTCGCCAATAATCAATGTCAAAAGCAGTACAGATAAACTGACCGCAATCTTCTGGAAAATAGGCCCCCAGCATATTACGTTTATATCTTTATATTGATTGGAAGTACACCTGATGCTAAATTCTGGATGTTTCAAGCAGGATGTCATAGTCGTGGAGTGGTAACTATGTAACTATGTAACTATGCAACTGCCTCAAAATAAAAAAAGTGTGAATGCTTGCAAAATTTTCCACAACCTTTCAAGTTAGTTGTAGGTCCTGATCGTTCTCAATAAAATGACAATTTGACTTATATGGGTGTATATATTTGCATCACTATAGGTGAAACGTCGAATACTATGACGTGTTTGTGTATGCATGATTAAAGTGCACTCGTTCTTAAATTGACGGGAACCAGGGCGTTCAGTAAAATATCTGAATGATGCATGACAGGAGTGGTCAGTGTCTGACTTTCTGCACGTCGACAGGATGGATGGTACTGACGAACCACTTTTCGTGGTTCCGTGGTTGTATTGTATCATTTACATGCCACAATGATCACATTGTGATAACATATAGAATATTAAAAAAAAACTCAGATTAGAAATATATATATAAAAATATTAAGAACATTGATTTACGCGATCGACTGAATAGATTTTGACTATGTAATCACTCTGAAAATAGAAACCGGTAGGCATGCTAAACCAAAGACATCGATAGACGACAGAACAATGAAAAAAAAAAGATGATGAGATGCACTTTTTTTCTATCTTGCCCAGTATACAATGAAAAATAAAACACTATCCTCAACGCAAAAGAACATAAACTTTAAAAACACATGTTAAACCAGCAATTTGAATATTTAATGTCTACGACATAATGATAATCCCACTAGCAATTTATATAAGCCACTGCATGGAACTAAGTCAGCAACACACTCACCCTCGGTAGTTCATTGTCACAGAAGAGAGTATTTCTGTATTTTAGTGATTTTGTCGTTAACTGTTGTTATTGATTTGCAGTGGTGGATCCAGCAAAATGTATTGGGGGGGGGGGGGGGTCCAAGCTTCGCTTAAGATATACGGAGCGTAAATCACAGAGAAGCTATGCGTAATCCAGATCATATGAATCGTCATGCGTTTGGGAGGCATGGCCCCCCGCTGGATCCGCCACTGGTGATTTGTAACATTCAATTATGGGGGGGGGGGCAATATCTAGACAATGCATCGCACAGTTGCATACAGAGCCTAAAGATTCACGTTAAGGATCGCTCGTTCCAATGATTGTATCTACGGTACGCCGTAAGCCCATGACGTGCATTTCATCTCAAGTTTTGTAATTATATAGAGAGATGTTATTGGATATATGGATCCCGAAAAAAGACTTCCGCGTAAAGTTGTAAATTTATATTATATATGATTAGGCGCGTAAGCGTCCTCCAATAATAAAAACAAACATGGCTGCCACCAGGGTTTGAACGGACTACACACAAAGAAGTTCGCTTATTCTGTTATAAACTTTTTGAATTTCGGCATCCCATGAAGTACTATTGAAATAAGTTTATTACGAAGATACCTCGACGTATGAAGTCGGACAGTACGCCGTCGCATCGAACTCCGTTGTGCATACGCATACGACCTGTTCACAAATTAGAGGTGATCCACCTAGAGAACGCAGACAAACTTCAACGATAAAGCATCGATTTTTAGTTCTACCACAACAGTCCACGCAAGCACAGAAGCCTAATATGACGCCTTTGATCGCTGATATGTCAATATACAAATATATCAACCGCCAAACGCGCGAATCGGATTGGCTAATAGCGCTATGAAAAATAAATATTGTATTATGTAATTCCCAAAATACAATGCTACAGTACAGTGAAATGACGTTACCACTGTACCACGAGAAGAACAGCGCCATCAAGTACATGGGAACAGTATGCTATTCATTGGAAAAGGAAACAACAGTTCGGAAACTAGGCTTATTCTATCTTGAAAACACATACGCCATTTGGAATCTCACGTAAATACCACAATTCGTGTCAATAATCCGTGTTATTATGTTACGTACATACCACGTTTACATGTAAATATACATTGGATCATCAACCCCGACATATGACGCTGAATGCTGGCAACGTAGGTGTGTTATGAGACACAGAGATGCCCTTAGAAAACACATTATAGCATATTGTGATTGACAAAGGTTACTTTGTACTGGGAATTCTCATTAGGTCACATTTTAACAACATTTACTGTTCTACTGTTTGACTAAGATATATCACCATATCATCAATTCGAACCTCTGCGGCTAGAGAATGGAAATAAATGTGTTAACAATGAATTAACATGACAGATATACGAGATAATCCCATGCAAATTTGAGCACACGTAATATGGGCGTTTTCTTAATTTTCTTTAAGACATAGGAAAATGAACCATTACTGACATAATGATATGAATGTGTTCGCTGGCACGTTTCTTAGCAAAGGTTACAATAACGAGCAGAACGTCATTAAATATAAATATATTTTCTCTCTATAATTAAACCATATGTAAAATAATAGTTTCAACACGTCCTGTGTGAATGAATTTGGCTATTACCGAATTCCTATATATTTATGCCAAAAGAGAATGAATACGGGCGTGTTTTCAACTTGCGAGTATGCATTATCCGTCGATAAACCAGTGGGCAAGACTCAGGAGACGACCGACATAGAAACAGCACGTTTTCCATAAATTAACATAATATCAAATTAACTCACTCTATAAGTCGTTCCTTGCTTCGACGTCATCACGGCAAAGACATCGCATTTGATCTCCGGCTTTTAACTTACTATCCCAGGTCGAGTGGGACGAAGTCACGGTATATAAACAAGCCGGATTGTATGAGAAAAGTCAGTCGTTTCATCAATCCAAGACGAAGAGTAGTTATTGAGAGTTCTGCCGACATAAAGGTAAACTGCGTAGACTGTATTAACAACCATGTATGCGTTTACGATGCGCCATTCGATTAATGTTAATGCATCAACAGTTTCGCATTTCTTGCTTTTTTTCCAACTAAACTTCATGTATGTTTTTTTCCTTCCCTTTCCACAGTGTTTCACCTGTTGCCTTACACTCACGTCATCATGAAACTGTGTTACGTAATATTCATACATTTTGGTTTGATGTGTGCCTGTACGCAAATTAAGGCATTTCCCAACTTTGCCAGTTTATTTATGAACACGGGTAAAGAAACATCGGTGAGTCAATATTCTTTGCTTTGCACACGCACGAATATGTATTTTTCCATCGTATTTTTGCGATTGTTTTTTTTTTTTTTTTTTTTACAAAATACCAAATTGCATCAATCGACGCAAAACAGTGGCTGTAAGCAATACTGCGTCAATCATAAATACAGAAACTGTCACATTCTTCACCCTCATTAATACAGTGGATCCAGTTACAGTCGTGCGGTTTTTCCAGTGACCAATTGCTTGCAAATGACCCCTGTAGTCTACACTGCAACCAGTTTATTTAATCAGTGATGCCGGACGAATTCTCGTGTATAAAATAGCTGCCAACAATGTGCACTCGTTCAAGTGCTATGCCTAGTCTTTATATACACATACTTGTAACCATAGGTCGTTTGTGCAATTCTTTGAAATAGAAGAGACCTTGCGTTCGGTCATTTGTGACAGTACACGTCGTTTTATTTTGGGTTTATGTTGCTTGAGTTCTCCTGATGTTGATTTCACCCGTTTAAAGGCGGTGGTCGTCGCTCAGCGCGTGTTCGAATTTCATGTAAATAAATAATGTATTTTACACGCATTGTGTACGTCGCTATGAGTCGCATAACGAACAGGACGCGGAACGACGACTGCCGCCCTTTAAATTTACACTTTTCTAAAAGACACGTACGTGTTAAGTGTCGTGTTCCAGTGTTTCAATTAAAAAACGGTATGGCAGCGAATATGCAGTCTCTCATTACGTGCACGTGTTTGTTATAGTTGTAGCCATACTGCGCTATCTCGAAGAACGGATAATGAGTGTAAAGAGGCAGCTAGACTTTAGTCGTGATTTGGGGGAACATTTACAGTTCAATATTCAAAACGCGTGATTAGTGTGCCGAAATATTGATCAACCATCTGACAGAGGGGCATTCATAACATATAAATGAAAGGTGTGGATTCGCACGAAAAGTTACATTGACATTACATTGATTTCCAGGTTTGAGAAAGGGTCTGACAATGTTCAGAATTCATATGATCAAGTACATGATATGATAACATTCCCAAGCGTGGTCAACTCGGATAATGTGTGCTGTTGTGACAAAAAAGTTCCCGAAAAGTAGTATGAGAAATGTTGGGTATTAAAGAAAATGGGTTGAAATGGTATGCTAATCCCTGAGGAAACTCCCCAATATTGCTGGTAACCTTGATACCCCCTTTCCCGGGGCAACCATCCCCGGGATGTAACTTGCGTGCTTCAGCTGAACAGCTATTACATCGAAAGACGTTGTGCGCCACAAATGGTGCTCGCCTCGACCAACGCCACTACTGAGTATTTCATGTAGCTATATATACTGATATAACGTGTTTCGTAGACTAAATGTTAACGTTCTTTCAGAAAAAATACACAACGTTTTTTTCAACTTTCAGCAATTGAATAAATGACGCGAGGAAATCCGTTTCCCACGGATCTGTGTTCTGTTTATCTAAAGTTGTTTTTGTATTATGTAAGCCTATTTTGTAATGGTTGTGGTAATCCTTACACAAAACAATACACCTTTCAGAAGTTAAGTAGTCCACATGTATAATCTAAGTATGTAAATATGTAATACCTTAAATAAGTGGATTAGTATGGAAAACCTTTTAAAAATGTTTGAACATGAAATTTTTGAAGTATATGTTAGAACAATCTTAGCATTCAAATGTAAACCAGGGGATTACTGCTTGTATATATAGCTACGAGGGGAAACAGTAATTCAGAAAAACACCAGATCCACGCGTTGTTATTCATGCTGGAAAAGTTTAACAAACTTTTAAAGGTTCAGTGAACGTATTTGACAACAAATCAGCGAAATATCTCGAGTGTTTCACCGGGTCGATGGGTTAAGGGGTGTAGTTGTGTACGGAAATGTAAACTGTAATGTTGAGTGACTCACATGGAATAAACTAACGTATGAATTACAGATCCCATTGTATAGCGATAACTTTCTTCAACGTAGTACTTTTCAGATTTGAACGACATTCACTATGGGTAGACGAAATCACACGTTGACCATTTCAATGTTTCTTGTAGAATTTCTGCCTAATTTACATTGTTGTATCTTGGTATAACGAGTAGTCATATGTGTGTCAACTTGATGATAGGTTTGTAATCAGTCGCCATTGTTAAGATTTGCCAATCAAACAAAAATCAATATAACGAGTTTTTAACACATTTATCTTGATTGCAGGGGAGTGGCCAGGATGAGGAAGTTTTACCACCACATGCATTCACAGAAGAAGAGGCATTGCGAGCCCTACATCTTGCACGTAAGTGTGTTTACTGGGATATGCATAATCACATTACATATACAAATACTTGCACTATTTTTGTACAGAAAGCATGTGATAATCAAACAACATTGTGATAGTGTATATTATATGGTATATTACACAGGGTTGAGTGAGTACATTTTTTGTATTTAGTATTATATTTGATTCATTTCTTAGCCCAATATTAACGGCCGATCAATTTTAAACGAATGCCATGATAAGAAAATTAGTCGACACTACCATATTTAATCAATTGGGGTCACAGATAACAGAATAATGTTTTAGTGTGTGGTGTATATTCAGTTCAAGACACTTGCATGTTATCGGCAAAGTAGCTATTTCCATGCTCTATCATATTTTACGACATTGAAGTTAAAGCCATGTTTATGATCGATGCGGAGCCGTTAAAGTCCACCACCAATCGATCACCTAGATTAAAGAAGGGTGTTAATGACAAAACATTATCGAGAACTCGCTTTCATTAACATTTTTAGAATACTCGTTCCTGGAAAAGTGTGCATATTAGTTAAATTAGTGTTCAACCACTTGGTTTATAAGCTCTCTGCCACGACAGACCATAACTATATTTAATTGGATGTACTAACTCCCTTCGAATAGTCCGACATGATGAAATATTGAATTCAAACTCCTAATTGGTGTTCTTAATGGGATAATGGTTGATATATTACAGTATACAAGTCGTGGAGGTATTTGCGGAAGCGAATTGTGCAATTACGAGTAGGAATATGAGCAGCCTTTCATTTTTCTTACTTATACTTAAATTCGTCTAGGGATTTGACTTAATTGAGCTACGCATGTAATAATTCAGGATATCAAAAGGACAAAAATTACTATTTTGAGAGAAAGAGTCACACAACAATATTTTTTTGTGCGAGATTCTTTGAAATGTTTTTATTTTACATTCATCAATGATCTAATTTGTGCTATGACCATACCATGGAAATGGAATCACCCGGAATAGCTACAACTTGGTGTGTATACAAAATACAATATTCCTTTCAGGGTTGATTATGTGACCTACAAGCTAAATAGGGAGTAGGAGATATTTATGTTTTTGTTCATATCTTCAATGACCTTAATCACCCTGACTAGTAATGAGAGAGTACTAATACAGTTGCATACTCTGTTAAATCTCAGACCCTTTTCTAGACCAGCGCCATAAATATCATACTTTTATGGCGCCGTCGATATACATATATATCGCCACAGTGTCAACTGATATCGCTATAAGAAAACGATACCAATTGTGTCAACTATAACCCCGTGTCAATCGATTTCAGTTAAATATAATAACTTTAAGACATATTAAATACGCTGATAAGAAGAATTAGATTATATATATCTACCATTGTATGAGAAGCGTTGCTACACGACCCAATTCTATCTTGGATTTTAGCTTTATTCGTAATATTCCATGTAATTAAAGCATAAAACAAATACCGACTCAAAGAGTGCCGATTGTGTACATTTGTGTACAATAATGCAAGTTATTATTTAGGGATCTACAGAATGTCTTAATTTAAGAGATCGACCTGTAAATTACCTGAGTAACTCATACGTTGTTTATTTTCCACATATGCGAGTAATTGCAACGCTGAAATTATTAATATTTAATTATTTTTATATTACTGATCAGTATAAATAACTGAAGTTAGACTAGAAAATAAAGAGGGGGAGCAATCTCAAGCATGGCTCTTAGAAGATATAATCTCAGTAGTTGAACAATTTTGACAGTTGCATACAATATTATTAAAATATTCCAAATTATTGCATGGTTTCCCGTTGAACCCACCCTTCAGTAGATATAATCTATTTAGAAATTATAATTATATATGTTTGTAATGTGACTGTAATTCCCAAATGTATTAGTTCACACTGATGTAAATTTCTGAATATCCTAAATCTATATATCCACTTTCTCCCACTGTGTGTCTGTTTCGTTTTTCGCTATTGAAAATCAATATTTGAAGCCATAAAACCGCTGTTCAAAAATCATTACTCGTATACAATTGCAAATACTTATGATCACATGATCGCAGCAAACACCGACACTAAAATACAACTGCTCACAGCTGAGCAAGTCTAATAAATTCTAACCAGACACTTCTGAGAAGAAGTGAATTAACTTATCAAATTACTTAGCGCGGTAGTTGCCATTGACAACACACACAACGCCACGGGATTCCATCAAACTAGCTTGAGCAACGGTAAATCCATTAATGTATTATATATCAATACTCTTAATTCAAAGAAGGTTCTATCACATTGCCTATTAGTGCAATGACGCACATGATGACCCGGGCCTAATCACTGTATGTGAAATTGATCTAGTGTAGAACTAATCGTTATAATTTATCACTGGGCACTTGTAAAAATTACAAATCAAGTTCTACTCTTGAATAGTTACAAGACTATAATTTCAGAAGTTTGACATCCATCCTACCCAATACCTCTGTAATTCATAGCACCTTTCGGCGCAGAGCTCTACATACCAGGCTATGTGATCTAAGTTATTTCACAAAAGCGATTATATTGTGTGACGACAATTCGAAGGGGATTTAAGAACGAACGTCATCAACGTTTAATTTAAGGGTTATATGTATACACTTAAAACTAGCTTTAAAAACCTATTTGCTTTGAAATTACAACGTTTTTTCTAGTTGTGAAATGTTATATCAGTACTTCTATTTAGTTCTTCTGCTGTTATCGGCACCATTGCACTGTCAACCCACAACTCACATGTTGTACCCGTATTATAGGTAGTACCTACGTTATGATGTACAAGTGTACTATGACGTAACATTTACATGGTTTGATTTTGGCTCTTATTGATTGCTTATTTTCATTCAAGAGTTGCCAATGGACCGATTCCCAAATAGGTTTCCGTACATGAAATATCTTTGATGACAGGTTAAGTAGTCGATCGAATAGGTCATATGGATACCCAATCTCCTCTTCATTATATTCCATGCCGCTTGAGATTTCCGTATCCTGTTGGCAGATGTTAAAGGAGTGCGAGTGGCAACTGTAAAATCATTTACAACTTTAATATTCTTTGACTTTATACAAAAGCGATCTTTCTAATGATTTCGAATCTCGAGACACGTTTTATGATACTTCCTACTTACCCCTGGGGTGTTTTTAAGATCACATGTGCACTTAAATTGCATGACGTGCTTCCCAAGGATTTAAAAGTCATTATTTTTATGCGAGAATCACGAATAGGACTATAGTGATGGTGCCCAAGAGAAATATAGCCGGAGATTAGTATTTAGAATATAGACAGTGGACATAGGACATTATATATAACAATTAATCGGGACATGCGATCATATGTATTACTCATATCACTAAAGTGTTTTTAGATATTTGAAATAGCTAAAATATTAACAACAACATCATTATATTACGTATATTAATGACCCAGATCAATGTTCACGCGCGTATTTTGGTTACGTTTTGTTATTTTTCAATCGATTACGGAAATTTCATCCTATTTCTTGAGAAAAGGTTTTTGCCAAAATTGTAAATTGTAGAAATCGGTCTAGAGCGAAATATTTGTTTTAGGAATGAGCCTTTAAACTACAGTACACGGGGATACATCTATCCCTCATGGGATTTCGAGACCAAATAACCCGTATTGTGTTCTTTGATGTTCCGCTTTATCTAATAGTGTACAAACACCCACTGACATTCGCTTTTACTTACGTGTGGCGGGAATCTATTCAATACAACCAGGTAGAGAACAACACAGATAATAGGTTGAAGGAATTCCCCCCTGGAGGTATTTCAATTATCTACGACCACTACCGAGTGCAGGATTCGATATACAATAGAAAGTTTTTTCTTTTTATAATTTACCTTGAATCATAATTCAGCTCAATTTCACTGCAAGTGTCATCCCATTTTCACCAATAGTTGTTACACAATTGCTTGGTTAGTGCTAGGGGCGCCAACTCTACTATTAGTTTCATCATTACTGGTTAGTGTTATGAGCACCAACTCTATTAGTTTCATCATTACTTGGTTAGTG